CAAATGCCAATTAACTAGAAAGCAATAAATGTGAAAACAAGAATATATATAGCTTTGGTCGTAGGTCACTTGAGTTAGTCCTCCATCCCATAGGCACCTATGCATGGGTATGAGTGTGGAGTCCCCATAATGATAAGAATCTATATTTTGCCAACATCTCATTGTAATTCTCTTTGGAAATTCTCCTGCCAACCCCATGTTGGAGGAAAGGCAATAAAATGGATTCCTTCACCTCATTAAAGAATTATAGTCCAGTGATACTAAAATAATGATTGTCTAAAATGCCAATTACTCATTATTTCTTGCAAATCTTCAGTGTCACAAATCAAATTTGGGTTTATCAATTAGGTTTTACTTTGTTTGCTTTGGTGGGATCAAAGATAGCTTCTAATATGACAAGTTGCTTATGGAGGAGTGAAAAGCCCTGAGAAAGTAAGAATAAATTAGTTTTCCACCAAAGATAGGCAGTAGCTTGCAGTGGTCTTTGCCTCATACAGATGTTTAATAAATACAGATCCTTCATGATTGGAAACAGATATCCTGTGTTATTTGGACCAGATTCATATTGTTTAAGAGTCTTACTCTATGAACTAGATGTTTCCTGGGAGATAACTGTTATGAGTGAGTTATTAAGATAACCTCACAGGAAAAATAAAAAAGAATGATTGCTCTTCAATGATGACACTTTGTTTAATGGGGTAATATTTTTCCTTACAGAACCTATTGCTTTCTGGCTAAGGGTGATGAGAACGCAGGCAGAGCTGTAGTCTTACATCAGTTATTTTCAGGGTGTGAAGGCTGGGACATTCCTTCCCCCTCCCAACATTAAATGTAACTGACAGTGGGAATAAAGCTACTGCATTGAAATGGTTTACTATTTTTGTTTTTTGTTTTCATAGAAACTATATGCACAGCAAAATATAAATCAACACAGAGACTGGGCTCAGTTTCCAGAACTTGATACAAAAAACATATATGAAGAGGATTAGTATAACTTTGCATTACATATGATTAAGTAGACATTTTTCCTTCAGCTTTCACAATAGACATTAATATTCATCTTTATAGTTATATAATTTATTGGGTTTAGTAATAAGTGCTCATTTTGGGAAATTTAAAGGATACAAAACATGCAAAATATGAAAACATAAATGACCCATACTCCCACTACATAGAGATCTATGTTATTTTTTCTGGCATAAATTGTGTGTGTGTGTGTGTGTGTGTGTATCCAGCTTTGCCATTTACTGTACAATCTTGAGCAAATTACTAATATCTTTGTGTTTTGGCTTCTCCATCTCTAAAATGATAATAATAGCATTTTTTATAATATTGTTGGTGAAAATTAAATAAATTTATACATGTCTATGCCTGGCATGTGACAAATGAAAGCTATTATTTTTATGTACATATGGCTTGATTCAAATTGAGATTATATTATACAAATGATTTTTTAAACTTTAGCAACATTTTAGAAAAACTATTTCTAGTTCATAAAACAGTCTTTTATGATATGATTTTAAATGGTTAGATTTAAAATGGTTTTGTCCTATGAATGTATCACAATTTAACAAATTCCTTCTTATTAGGTATGTTATTTTAGTCATTATAAATATAATGTCACAACCAATATTCTTTCATCTCCATGTTTGCCATAGATATGGCTTTTTCTTTAAAATAAAGATATAGAGAGGAAATTCTTGAATCAAATTGCATTTATAATTTAAAGACTTTTAGTAAATATTGTTCACTTGCTCACCAACTGACACCTCCCATGGGAAATCTGTGAGAGTTCTTTTTTCCCCAAACCCAAACAATATAAAAAATGCTCTAACTCTCCTTACTCCTTAAAAACCAAACCACCACCAATTTCAAAACCTGTAACTATTTTACATGGGTAAAAACAATACTTCAATTTCCATTTTTTATTACTAGTGAGGCTGATTTTTATGTGCTTATTGATCCTTTCTATTCCTTTTTTTTTTTGGTCTGGATCTTTGAAATCTTTATATAGTTGCCATTGGGTGTACATTTAGAGAGACTGAAAAGTCTCTTTCTGAATCTTTAAGGACACATAGCCAATGCCATAGCAGCTTGCTACTCTGTTAAAACACAGGTAAATTAAGCTTCAGAAATTTTCAACTTAACTAAAAGCTGACAAGGGTGAATAATTTTTGAACTGATCTGGTTTAAGAAACAAAATATAAGTGAGGTTTTACTTGACTTGTTTCCACATGAGGGCTCTCAATGCTGCTAAACTTCATTTTTGGAGGAAACTTTTCTTTTTAGAGATACTAAGATGAATATTTTCTTAATAGTGAATTCTATTTCGATGACTAATACCTCGGTTTTTAGGAATGTTCCACTTTTCCATGTGAAATAAAATGTAAAGCAAAATGTCACACATGATGTGATATAATGTGTAGAAAATCCAAGAGCATCTACAAACTATTAGAACTGAGAAATGAGATCAACAAGTTTGCTGGGTGCAAAAATCATTACACAAAAATCAATAACGTTTCTATATCACACCAAAACCTAATTAGTGTAAATGGTTAGGAGGGCTCCACCAACAGAAATGAGGGGAGAGTTTATATTTTATAGAGAAGATATGGAAGCCAAGCAAAGAAATTATTTGATTGGCTGTGACTTAAGCAATTGCCCTTATTTGGGAAAACCTTATTTGGCTGTTTGTGGTTGGTTCTTAAGTTTCATTTTTTCTGGCTTAGGTTTTGGTTATTATGTAGGCTACCAAAGTATTAGAGCCACCCCAGCCTAGGGGCCTCCTTGTTTAATTACTTCATAATATCTAGGAATAAATATAACAAAAGTCTTTAAATTCTGTTTTAGAGAAAATTTTAAATCTTTACTAAAGATAGGTCCAAATAAATGGAGAGAAATACCATGTGTAGAAAGACTCAATGTTGTAACTGTTTCTATTTTGCCCAAATTAATTAGTAAGTTCAGTATTGTTCTAATAAATCTCAGAAGTACTCTTCTTAGAACTTGATAAAATTATTCTAAATTTGGGTGGGAGAGTGAAAGGCAAAGGATAGCAGACAATTTTAAAGGAGACAAAGAAGAGGAGATAGAAGGTTGTTTATTTATCCTACCAGAGTTCAAAACCTATAAAGTCATCATAATTAAAACAGTGATATTGGTACTAGATTAGATAAACAGGCCAAACTGAACAGAATTTAAAAATCTAAGAATAGGCCCACGTTTATAATAACTTGTCAAAGGATGAGTCTGCACTATAAATTAGTGGAGACAGGATAACTATTCAAGGGCGCCTGGGTGGCTCAGTTGGTTAAGTGACTGCCTTCGGCTCAGGTCATGATCCTGGAGTCCCGGGATCGAGTCCCGCATCGGGCTCCCTGCTCGGCGGGGGTCTGCTTCTCCCTCTGACCCTCTTCCCTCTCGTGCTCTCTGTCTCTCATTCTCTCTCTCAAATAAATAAATAAAATCTTTAAAAAAAAAAAAAGGATAACTATTCAAAATATGGTGCTGAGACAAAAATCACTAAAATAATACTCTCAACTTGTACTTTACACCAAAGTTCCAGGCATATTAAAGACTTATTTATGAAAAAGTAAAATTCTAAAAGTTCCATGAGAAAAATAGGAGACAATCTTTATGACATCAGGATAATGAAGAGTTTCTTAAATAAGAAACAAAATGCACAAACCATGAATGATAATATTAATCAATTTCTCTGCTTTAAAAGATATCATTGGATAATATGCAGCCACCAAAAGGAATGAAATCTTGCCATTTGCAACAACGTGGATGGAACTGGAGGGTATTATGCTGAGTGAAATAAGTCAATCAGAGAAAGACATGTATCATATGACCTCACTGATATGAGGAATTCTTAATCTCAGGAAACAAATTGAGGGTTGCTGGAGTGGTGGGGGGTGGGAGGGATGGGGTGGCTGGGTGATAGACATTGGGGAGGGTATGTGCTATGGTGAGCGCTGTGAACTGTGTAAGACTGTTGAATCACAGACCTGTACCTCTGAAACAAATAATACATTATATGTTAAAAAAAGAAGAAGAAGAAGAAGATAGCAGGAAGGGAAAAATGAAGGGGGGGAAATCAGAAGGGGAGATGAACCATGAGAGACTATGGACTCTGAGAAACAAACTGAGGGTTCTAGAGGGGAGGGGGATGGGGAATGGGTCAGCCTGGTGATAGATATTAAAGAGGGCATGTACTGCATGGAGCACTGGGTGTTATACGCAAACAGTGAATCCTGGAACACTACATCAAAAACTAATGATGTAATGTATGGTCATTAACATAACATAATAAAATTTAAGACAAAACAAAACAAAACAAAAAAGGTACCATTGGATGTGGAGATAAGTTGCGGATTTGAGAAAGATATTTGCAAACCATAGATCTGACAAAGGATTGATATCCCAAACACATAAAGAATATCTACCCCTCCCAAGAAAAGAAGCACATCTCTCTCTCTTTGTGTGTGTCTGTGTGTCTCTCTCTCTACCTACTTACCTACCTACCTATGATTCATAGAATGCTGAATGGCTAATAAACATATGAAAATATGTCTAACCTCACTCATTGTTCCAGTCAGGATTCACTTAGGAAACATTAATCATACCAATTTTGAACAGGGAAATTTTAATATAAAAAATTAACTAGTGGGGATGTCTGGGTGACTCAGTCAGTTAAGCAACTGCCTTCAGTTCAGGTCATGATCCCAGGGTCCTGGGATGGAGCCCCGCATCCGGCTCCCTGCTCAGCGGGGAGTCTGCTTCTCCCTCTCCCGCTCCCCCTGCTTGTGCTCTCTCTCTGGCAAAATAAGTAAATAAAATCTTTAAAAAAATTAACTGGTAAAAAGTGGTTAACTGCTAAAAGAAGCTAAAAAGAACTCTAAGTGTATAGCAGTTGGTAACACAGAAAACAATTGAGGGAGAATGAGTAAGAAAGGAATTAAGAACTTAGAATACTCTGCCTTCCTTCTCTCCTAAAGCTGTTAATGGGAAGAAACTTGCCAGAAGATGTGGGCTGGAACTGATCCATAGGAGCAACTAGCCAGGTGGCTGAAAAGCTTGCCAGGGCACAAGGGTAGGCTGGAGTCAGACTGTGCAGGCCACTGAGGTGAGTATTTGCTACCAGGTCTCTTGCATGTCAATTCACTGGCTGCCGTGCTGAACAGAAAAGGTCACTGGATTGAGGAAGGGATGTCCCTCCTCTCAGTATGGCTTTGCACTCCCTCCAGTGACCTTTACTGACAGAACCTAACATAAAAGGACAGATATTTATAGGGTACAGCTTCAGTATCACAGAGCAGGACAAAAAGGGTGGATTTGGAGCTAAGAGTCAGTAAATGGATGCTGGCACACTGGTTATCAGGAAGATGCATGTAAAATAACAAAGAGATACTACAGACAAAACAAATAGGTGTGATAATACCAAATATTGTCAAGGATGTGCAGAAATGAAAACAATCATACATTGCTGGTGAGAATGGGATCAACAAAACTATTTTGAGTAACAGTTTGTTATTGAGCAAAGCTGAAGATGGGCATGCCTTATAGCATGCAATCCTACTTCTAGGTATATATGCTGGAGAGAATATTGCACATGTGTATGAGGAGATGTGTATGAGAATATCTATTTCAGATATATATTTAATGACTCCAAATTGGGCACAACATAAATGTCTACCAGTAGGGGTATTATACAATAAATTGTGGGATCATTAGTGGTATTTTAACTATGCAGCAATATAAAAAGACTCATTATATCTATGTGTATCCACATTGACAATTTTTCAAAAACAGTGGTGAGTTAAAAAAAAGAAAGTTGTAGAAGACCTCTTTAATATATTATTTATATAAAATTTTAAACCACACAAAAACATATTCCATATGAGAGATTAGTAAACTTATCTGTAAAGGGCCAAACAATAAATATTTTAGGCTTTGTGGGCCTCATACAGTCTCTGTTACATATATGCTTCTTATTTTTCAACCCTTTAAGAATACAAAAACTATCATAACCGATGGGCCATATAGAACAGGCCAAGTCTGGATTTGGTACAGACTAGAGTTTGCTGACTTCTGCTCTATATTGTTTATGGAAATGTATGTCTGTGAGAACATGGATGAAAAGTCTATAATAACAGTGACAAAATGGTGGCTGCTTCCAGAGGGAGTAATAAAATCAAATAGGTAAATTATGGTAGAATGTTAATATTTGCTGGCTTCAGGAAGTGACTACATAATATGTCTCTTATGGTCTTCTATATTTTCTATATATTTAATATACTTCATAATTAATCATAACTTGAAAGAGAGCATAATGTAAACCCTGGGCATATATAATTTGCAGATTGGGACTAGTAAATTGTGGGTATGATCTAGTTGAAATAGGCAACATAATTGTTTTCTATTGATTTTTGTGTCATTTATATAAATATTTATTATTTAAAATTAGAACTGAGTGTCTTGTTTGTAATATCAGTTTATAGTTGTTCTCCATAATATTTAGAAAGAGGTAAGGGAAAAACTGTTTAAGAAAACAAAACATTAAAAAGATAGAGATAGAAGTCTATTTATAAAAGAGAAAATTATTCGTGGCAGATACTGACTTTGTGATGAAAAAAAGCTAAGGTAGGCATAAAATCAGAGAAACCAACCTTTTAAAATGGGTTTAAATGTTGAGGCATTAGCTTCATAAACATGCCCATATTATGGATTGGGGGATAAGAAATTCTTTCCTATTCTTAAATTCTTATGGGAAAACAATAATATTTGAGTTAAAGAATAAAAATCATGACAGATTTTATTTAACAGTCATAGCATCTGCATTTAAAAATTCCTTGGAATGCAGTTGTTTTGGTAATGATAAAATTCAGGTCACAGAGAGCAGTGTTTTATAGAAATGCCAAGGAGATAGAGTACTTTTTTCAAGTTGTTGGATTTCTTAGGTTTCCGTTAAATCCCTGTTGAAGGTCACAGGGCATCTTTTTCTTATGTGTAATGTAATGTAGTCTAACATTAAATTGAGTAGTCTTTTAATTTTAACTTACCTAACATCTTATTGTAATACTGCCAGGAAAGTAATTTTAAAAATATGACTGAACCAAAAATAGAGGTCATTATACAAGGGCTAGTACATGCTCAAGGAGGTCAAAAGCTCTTCAGAAGCATTAAGTACAATTTGTGGCTCTCTGGAGAAGTAAAAAAATACTATTTTCCTATGGAGCAGTAATCTTGACCAAGAAGAGAATTGTGTTGTCATGAACCTTAGCTCAAAGTCAAATGGTGAGTCATTATCTAGGATGCACAGAAAATTTAGGATTCTCCTTCATATTCCCTTGAGAAGCTATTACACAATTAAGACTCTAAGTACTAATTAAGGAAACACCAACAAAAATCAAATAAACAAAAAACCCACAAAGAAATAAAAAGACAAATGAAGCTTGGAACTAATAATAACATTGGGGCACCTGAGTGGTTCATTCGGTTAAGCATCTGCCTTCGGCTCAGGTCATGATCCCAGGGTCCTGGGATTGAGCCCCTCATCAAGCTCCCTGCTCAGTGGGAAGCCTGCTTCTCCCTCTTCCCCTATCTGCAGTTCCCTCAGCTTGTGGTTCTCTCTCTCTGTGTCAAATAAATAAATAAAATCTTAAAAAAAAAAAACATGACAATGTTAATTTTATCATAAAGCACTTACTAAGTTATGAGAATGTTCATCTAGTTGAACCACCCAATCAACCACCTTTGATTTCCCTGAGTGTAGTTTGATGATGGTGATTACTGCCAAGTACCTCATGGTCATTCTCAGTTTATGACATGATGCATGGGAAACATCTTTAGCTTTGGGGGAGAAGCTTCTTCTAGAAATATGAAATTCATTTTGGATGATGAAATAGGTAATATAACTACCGATGTAAATGAATTGCTCATTAACAGCATGCAGACAGTTATGTCCACAGTAAAGTGAAAACCATTCTTAATGAGGAAATTTAACAATTGACACAAACACTGTAGGATATGGTCTTCTAGAGCATTTAAAAATATATATCATTATATTTCAGGATGAAAAGGTGATCTTTCTCAGGTTCTATAATGTATGGTTAATAATCACTCTTAGCCAGATATGTAATTAACATGTTGCAAAATTCTAAGGTTGGTAATATAGAACAAGAGAAAACGTTACCAGTAAGTTTTTGATTGGCAGTAAGGTAGATATATTTCACAAGGCTCTAATAAATGGTGATTATTGAAGTTTATGAATCAGATGATCTGATTATTAATATATTAAACATTAAATCAGCCTCCCTTTGGAGGCTTCATCCAGGAATTTGTTTAAAAGATGTTATTATTGCTCCAACCAATTTAAAAACTAACCATAAAATCCAAAGAGTAAGTACAAGAAAAGCATCTATATTAGAGCCCAATCTAGCAAATTTCCCTACATAATTGATTTCATGGAATATTGCTGGGCTATCATATTTCCTCTTCTAGCACTCCCAGGAATACTGGAGAGACAGGACAGCTACATTTAGTGCAGGGTTATAATAATAAGTTTAATTAAGATAAAACAACATTAATTCAATGGTTTGATGATGAAGTTGGCAGCACTTCTTCCTCTGTGTGGCAAAAGCGATAATCTCATGAGCGTGTCTGTCAGCTGGTTTAGAAGAGCTGAATGAGGGGAGTTTTCCTTTCAGGCTTCCTTGAGGAAAGTGTACTTTCCTCTTGTTTAGGCAATTTTCTTGTTTACTCAACACAGTTACTTCTAAGCCTCTTGGCACAGTAAAGTCCCATAGTCACCATCTCAACCTCATACCTATGTTGCTTATATAAAAGCTAGACTCCAGTGACAATGAATGTTTAATGATTTTTGCCACGGGATGGGTAACTTCTCACTTTTGACCAGAAGGCTAAGTGGCCTTCACATGTGCGGATCCATTGCCTGGATATGAGATTGAAGAGAGTAATAGATGTGTCAACCAACCCTAGCATTTTACTGATTTGCTGATTATTAGTGCACATAACTTGTTCAAACGATAGTCTAGGGATGGTTGGCACAAGTATGACCTAAAGTCTGTATTTATAAAGACATGTGGAATTAATTAGTTCTAGATTTATTCTCTTCTTGAGAATGCCCTCTATGAGATCCCTCACAGATGAATCTTAGCCTTTCTGTAGTAACAAATAATCCCCAAATATATATTTCATATTTATTCTAATATTGGTGGCTGTGGCTCTGCTGCATATGCCATTCCAGGACTGAGGATGAAGGCGTAGCCCAAATTCAGGACATACTGGTTTTGTGGCAAAGGGAAAAAGCAAGAGAGATGAAGGAAACTCAGAATGCCTCTGAAAGCTTAGATGCTGCATAAAACCTTGCTCCTCAGAGTTTGGTCTGATGACTAGCAATTTCAACATCACTTGGGAGTTTATTAGAAATACAGTATCTCGAGGTCCCACTAGACCTACTATATATGAACCTTCATTTTAACAAGTAATTCATAGACCCGTTAAAATTTGAGAAACACTGGTATACATCATACCTCCTCTTGATCATTGACCAAAGCCCTTCATGTGAGCCAAACTCAGGGAAGTTTGAGTCAGGGAAGCACAGAGGGAGACACCACAAGTTACATAGCAAAGGGCAGGGATAAATAACCTTTCAAGAAGACAGCAAAAAAACTTGGAAAAAAAAAAAATACAGTCCCTAAAGCTGCTGCGTATACCCAGTGAGACTAATTATCTCTTGAGGCAACCCATTTCAATTGTTGGGCATAACTATTAATCTAATTTTCATCCGTTGATTCTACTTTTTTCCTAAAGAAAGCATCTACTCCTCATTTCATATAACTTTTATTCAATGAGTTAAATGCATTGCCTGTGTTTTTTACTCACCTGAGTATTATTTAAGTTAGACAGACCTCCTTTCTTCACCATTTTCTTTGGGTTGTCCAGCCTTCTATTCTGGGGTATCTGCTTTGTAGCCAAGCTATTCAGGTTGGGTAAACTAGAACTGAATCTGACTCTTTGGTATCTGTCCAGCATAAAAAAATAATGAGGGTGTTTGATCTTTCCTTATTAGTATATAACACTTCTACAATATGTTTACACCAG